TATTAAGCATTGCTGCTTGTATTTCCTCACTTCCCATTCATTCTCTAACCAGTTGGAGCCTGGCTTCAGCTTCCCCCAACCCACTGAAACTGTCTTTGTTAAGATAATTATGACCTTCTGATTGCCAAAGCCTGTGGAAACTGAAATTGTTCTTTTCTTGACTTCTCAGTGGCATTAGCCACTCCTTCTTGACATTTCTCTCTTCCCTTCCAGTGTATCATTCCTTTGCCTCTCAGACCACTCCATTCTCTAATTCTTTAACTGATTCTTCTCCGCACCAACCATAAAAACATTGGAACTGGAACACCAGATCCCCAACCCTCTAACTTCAGCCTTTTCATTTTATATGCCCATAGTTTTCTTTTCTTTTTCTTTTTTCTTTTTTTTTTTTTTGAGACAGATCTCGTTTGTTGCCCAGGCCTAGAGTGAGTGCCGCTGGCATCAGCCTAGCTCACAACAACCTCAAACTCCTGGGCTCAAGCAATCTTCCTGCCTCAGCCTCCCAAGTAGCTGGGACTACAGACAGGCATGCGCTACCATGCCCAGCTGATTTTTTCTATATATATTAGTTGTATGCCCATAGTTTTCTTGAGCAACTTCTACATCTATCACATGAACTTCATTGTGTTCATGTGCTGATAACTATCTCTTTTTTGTGTGTGTATGAGACAGAATCTCATTCTGTCACCCAAGCTGGAGTGCACTGGCCCAATCATAGCTAACTGCAACCTCAAATTTCTGGGCTCAAGCCATCCTTCCACCTCAACCTTCCAAGTAGCTAGGACTACAGGTGTGCCATCACACCTGGCTAATTTTTTACATATTTCTTTTGTAGAGACAGGGTCTCACTATGTTGCCCAGGCTGGTCTTGAACTCCTGGGCTCAAGTGATCCTCCCACTTCAGCCTACCAAAGTGCTGGGATTAAAGGTGTGAGCCACCATGCCCGGCCACTGATGACTCCTGAATCTAAGCCTCATATCAAACCTGTGTCATTCCCAGATCCTGTCATTTGTGACAACATGGATAACCTGGAAAACATTATACTAAATGAAATAAGCTAGGCACTGAAAGACAAATAGTGCATAATCTCACTTATATGTGGAATCTAAAGAAGTTGAACTTGGCCTGGCATTTAGCAAGTGTTTAAATGTTTGTTGAATTAATAAATTGGTTGGTTGAATAGATAAATAACACAGGATAAAAAACAAGTAGTAAAGGAGAAAGGAAGGAGCAATTTTGGGGAATATTTCTTGAATATTACATTTAAATGTTTTCTGTAGGCCAGGCGCAGTGGCTCACGCCTGTAATCCTAACACTCTGGGAGGCCAAGGCAGGTGGATCGCTCAAGGTCAGGAGTTTGAAACTAGCCTGAACAAGAGTGAGACCCCATCTCTACTAAAAATAGAAAGAAATTAGCCGGACAACTAAAAATATTTATAGAAAAAAATTAGCTGGGCATGGTGGCACATGCCTATAGTCCCAGCTACTCAGGAGGCTGAGGCAGGAGGATTGCCCAGGAGTTTGAGGTTGCTGTGAACTAGGCTGACACCACAACACTCTAGCCTAGGCAATGCAGTGAGACTCTGTCTCAAAAAAAATTAAAAAAATAAATATTTTTCCGTAATTATAGCATTATCACAATGTAAAGAACCTAAAGGGCAAAAAAAGAATTGTGTACAGGCTGGGCGTTATGGCTCACGCCTGTAATCCTAGTACTCTGGGAGGCCGAGGCGGGCGGATTGCTCAAGGTCAGGAGTTTGAAACCAGCCTGAGCAAGAGCGAGACCCCGTCTCTACTATAAATAGAAAGAAATTAATTGGCCAACTGATATATATAGAAAAAATTAGCCGGGCATGGTGGTGCATGCCTGTAGTCCCAGCTACTCGGAAGGCTGAGGCAGAAGGATTGCTTGAGCCCTGGAGTTTGAGGTTGCTGCGAGCTAGGCTGACACCATGGCACTCACGCTAGCCTGGGCAACAAAGCTAGACTCTATCTCAAAAAATAAATAAATAAATTGTTTACAGAGAACCAGAGAAGCTTTGAATTCACATTGAATATGCTACGTGTGTACAATATGTGAGAAAGGAAACTGGACTATTGGGAGTTGCAGTAATAAGAGTCATTTCTTTTATCTAGGCCTAGACTGAGTGGGACTGACATGATCTGATTCTATGATCAGAGGCCTGGCTTTCCTACCAACCATGTGCTAGACTTCTGTCCAACTCAGGTAGCACCAGAAATGTCCAGAGATGGACTAGGTTGTAGAGAGGCCCTTTGCTTGACAAAACAGTTAGTGCTAAATGCTAATATTTAGCATTCAAAAATTTGGGATTGTACTTTGGGAGGCCAAGGTGGGAGGATTGTTTGAGGCCAGGAGTTCAAGACCAGCCTGAGTAAAATCAAGAGCCCATCTCTACAAAATATAGAAAAATTAGCTGAGCATGGTGGCATGTACGTGTAGTCCTAGCTACTGAAGAAGCTAAGGCAAGATAATTGCTTGAGCCCAGGAGTTTGAGGTTGCAGTGAGTTATGTTGCTGCCACTACACTCTAGCTGGAGCGACAGAGTGAGACTCTGCCTCAAAAAAAATTGAATTAAAAAAATAAAACAAAGAAGTTGAACTCATGAAAGTAGAGAGTAGAATGATGGTTACCAGAGGCTGGGGCAAAAGGATGGATGGGCAAAGGAAAGAGGTTTATCAGAGTGCAGAGTTTCAGTTAGACTGCAGAAATAAGCTTTAGTGATCTATTGCACCAAATGGTGACTATAGTAAGTAATAATACATTGTATATTATAAATTGCTAAAAGAGTAGATTTTTAAATGTTTTCACCACAAAAAGATGATAAATATGTGATGTGATGGATTTATTAACTAGCCTATTTTACTCATTCCACATTGTAAACATATATCAAAACATCACACTGTACCCCATAAATATGTGCAATTATTATTTGTCAGTTTAAAATTTAAATTTAAGAAAAGCTTCATTACTAAATATGCTTCTGCCTAATGTTGGATCTCAACCAGGATGTACCACACATACATCAGAACTCAACAAGTCTAAAAGCTAATTCACTTTTCCTTGCTTGTGCCCCATCTCAGAGAATGATATCCCTCCCTTCTCAGTTGCCCAAGATACAAACATAGTATGAATAGTTGCCCCAGACACCCTCATGCATTCATTTACCAAGTTCTTGAAGTCTATTCTCCTTTCTCCCCTTTACCTCCAACCTCTCAAAGTCTTCCCTCTACTCTCTTCCTGGTATTACTCCCTTTGTTCAGACAGGCATCATTTCTGGTCTAGATTTTGTCCCTGAACTACTTTCTTCTCTCATCCTGCTTCACCTCCAGTCCATTTTCCCCACTTACAAGAGAAAAATGATGCTTTCATATAAATCGTGACAATGCAATAGGCAAAATTTTGGTTGGGGGACTCCCTGTAGCCTATTAGATGAAGTTTAAATTGTTTAGCATGAAATTCATGGACTCTGCCTTTTCATGGGGCTTCATCCTTTGCCTAGTTGTACTTTGCATTTTAGGTGTACTGAACCACTTGCAGTTTTCATGGCTTCCTATTTCTGCATAAGCTGGGCCCCACCACTGCTCTAGTTCTGCTCACCTACATGCACACACACCCTCCTGCCTTCAGAAAATCCTCCCTGACACCCCCAGAGAAAGTTAGCTGCCCCTCCTTTGTGCTCCTTAGTCTCCTATGAAAACCACCTTGTTACAGCACCAATAAAAAGCCCTTTGACTAGAGGGTGAGGAGAACCAAATCTCTAGTAGTCTTTATACTTCCAGCACCTAGCAGGGGATATTTGATAAATGTGCGATCAATTCAGCAAATTTTAAAACTGTTTTTTTAAGTAAAGGAAACGAAAATTTTCTTCAAATAAAATTTCCTGCAGAAGCCTAACATGGAATAGACAAAAGTTAGGAACCTGGCCAGGCGTGGTGGCTCACGCCTGTAATCCTAGCTCTCTGGGAGGCCGAGGCGGGCAGATCTTTTGAGTTCAGGAGTTCAAAACCAACCTGAGCAAGAGCGAGACCCCCATCTCTACTATAAATAGAAAGAAATTAATTGGACAACTAATATATATATAGAAAAAAAAATTAGCCGGGCATGGTGGCGCATGCCTGTAGTCCCAGCTACTTGGGAGGCTGAGGCAGCAGGATTGCTTGAGCCCAGGAGTTTGAGGTTGCTGTGAGCTAGGCTGACGCCACGGCACTCACTCTAGCCTGGGCAACAAAGTGAGACTCTGTCTCAAAAAAAAAAAAAAAAGTTAGGATCCTATCACTTAGCCCTCTTCTGCCACGGTGCCTCTCAGGTGCCCAAACCTCACTGGGTACAGTGTGAAAACCACTGGTTTAAGACAGGTGTGGTGCACCTGTAATCCCAGCTACTTGAGAAGGTGGGGCAGGAGGATTGCTTAAGCCCAGGAGTTGATGTCTAGCCTGGGCAATGTAGTGAGAACACGTCTTAAAAAAAAAAAAAAAAAAAGACACCAAAACCCACTGGTTTAAAGGCTATCCTGTAGTGTCCCTATAGCTGACCATAAATGTACAATATGGATGAATCTTGAAAACATGCTAAATGAAAGAAGCCAGACAAAAGACCACATTATTGTTATTATTCCATCTATATGGAATACCAGAATAGGCAAATCCATAGAGATAGGAAGTAGAATAGTGATTACCAGGGACTGGGGTGACAGGAGAACAGGGAGTGACCGCTAATGGGCATGAGGCTGCTTTTTGAGGTGATGAAAATATTATGGAATTAGTAGTGATGATTGCATAACCTTATGATTATACTAAAAACCACTTAAGTATTAAGTGGTTAACCTTATGATTATTAACCTTATTATTATTAACCTTATGATTAACCTTATGATTATTAACCTTATTAACCTTATGATTATACTAAAAACCACTTAAGTATTAATTTCATACTTCAAATGGGTAAATTTTATGTTATGTGATTTGTATCTCAATACAGGTTGAACATCCTTCTGAAAATCCAAAATCTGAATTGCTTGAACATTGAAACTTTTCAAGCACCAACATGACGCCCCAATTGAAAAATTCCACACCTGACCTCCTGTGACAGGGCACAGTCAAACACAGGCTCACAACACACAGTTTAGTCAGCGTCCCCGAGGGAAAAAAGACCCTCCAGCCCCTCATCAGCTACAATATTTCTTTCCCACCCAGATTCCCACATTAAACATGCCCACAAAGGGTGATAAAATGGCATGTGTGCAGGCTGGATGCATTCCCCACAATGTCCCGCATGGGGCCAAGACCTATATGTGTTATGCACTGTTTTTTTGCTTATTCTCTGCTCTGTGGTATAAATATATTGTTAAGGATGTCAAAAAGGCTTCCAGGCCGAGCATGGTAGCTCATGCCTATAATCCTAGCACTCTGGGAGGCTGAGGAGGGAGGATCAGGATCAAGGTCAGGAGTTTAAGACTAGCCGAGCAAGAGCGAGACCCTGTCTCTACTAAAAATATAGAAAAGAAATTAGCTGAACAACTAAAAATATATAGAAAAAATGAGCCAGGCACGGTGGCACGTGCCTGTAGTCCCAGCTACTCAGCAGGCTGAGGCAGAAGGATTGCTTGAGCCCAGGAGTTTGAAGTTGCTGTGAGCTAGGCTGGTGTCACGGCACTCTAGCCCAGGCAACAGAGTGAGACTCTGTCTCAAAAAAAAAAGAATGTCAAAAAGGCTTGCTACCACTATTATCTCTATGGATAAAATACTATTATCCCTATGGATAATAGTAGTAGAAAAAGAGGAAGGATTCGTGTTTATCTAAAGCACAGAAAGTCAAGCTGATGGAGAAACTGGGCAGCAGTGTAAGTGTGGAACGTCTTACAGAAGACTTAGAAAGACCACCAGATATGACTTGAAGAAACAGAGGGTAAACTGTTGAAGTTCTGTGCTGAAAGTGATGGACAGAAGTTAATGACAACCAGAAACATGCTGCATCAAGCTAGAAATGAAGGGCTCGATTGTGTGTTGAAAGAGAGGCTCTGTCAGTGTCACAGTGAACGCACGCCACTCATTGGTATGCTGATCATGAAACACAAAAATCTATCATGATGAACTGAAAATTGAAACTGAATATTCACAAATATTTAAGCAAAGACAAAGCATTAAATTTTTAAAGATTTGTGGTGATAAAGTATCTGCTGATTATGAAGCAGTGGAGAAATTCATTGACAAGGTCATTGCTGATGAAAATCTGATACCAGAGTAAGTCTATAATGCTGATAAAACATCACTCTTTTGGTAATATTGCCTCAAAGATATCCTGACTCCAGCTGATGAGACAGCCCCTACAGGAATTAAGGATGCCAAGGTCAAAATGAATGTGCTGAGGTGTGCTAACGCAGCAGATATGCTTGAGCTGCAAGCATGGCTATTAAAGAAGGTTTTAACATAAATAATGGGGCTCCAGCGGGTCATTCATTCACCAAGGATGAAATGGCCAAAATGGTTCTGAATCAAGGTGATCGTGTTAATGGTGACAAGGAAGATGACATTGAAAACACTATAGAAAAAGTACCTATGGACAATATGGTGAAAATGTGATAGGCTTACTAAAGTGTGCACCCAGAACAGAACAAGAAGTAATGTCAGTTTATAAAATCAGAGAGCCTTCTATGACAAAGCACATCATTAATGAGGCAGGTGACTCTGGAGGAAACATTTTAAAAAGCTATGCAGCAGTAGGCCTCCTCATTTCTAGAGGACTCACTTCCAGGTCCCACAATTGTCTGAGGTTTCTTCTCATTAAAAAAATAAGATACAACTTTTTGTTTAATTAATTAATTTATTTTTGGGACAGCCTCTTGCTCTGTCACCCTGGCTGGTGCACAGGCGTCAGCCTAGCTCACAGCAACCTCAAACTCCTGGGCTCAAGCAATTCTCCTGCATCAGCCTCCCAAGTAGCTGGGACTACAGGTGTGGGCCACCACGCCAGACCAATTTTTCTATTTTTAGTAGAGATGGGGTCTCGTTATTTCTCAGGCTGGTCTCAGACTCCTGACCTCAAGCAATCTTGAGGTCCACCTCCATCTCCCAAGGTGCTAGGATTACAGGCATGAGCCACAGCTCCCAGCCAATGTACAAACGTATTAAAAATATTATATAATACTACTTTTGGGCTATGTGTATAAGGTGTCTATGAAACTTAAATGAATTTCATGTTTAGACTTGTGACCTATCCCCAAAATGTCTTATTATGCATTGAAAATATTCCAAAATCTAAAACACTTCTGGTTCTAAGCATTTTTGATAAGAGATACTCAACCTGTAAGAAAGCATTACAATGACATAATATTTTGTTCTATGGAACTTATTTTTTTAAAGAAAGGAAGAAATTTGTATAAAAAACAGGCTAGTCATGAGTTTGTTTCTATAATTTTTTTTTTTTTTTTTTTTGAGATAGAGTATCACTCTGTTGCCTGGGCTAGAGTACAGTGGCATCAGCCTAGCTCACAGCAACCTCAAACTCCTGGGCTCAAGTGATCCTTCTGCCTCAGCCTCCCAAGTAGCTGGGACCACAGGCATGCGCCACCATGCCCAACTAATTTTTTCTATATATTTTTATTTGGCCAATCAATTTCTTTCTATTTTTAGTAGAGACGGGGTCTCGCTCTTGCTCAGGCTGGTTTAGAACTCCTGACCTTGAGCGATCCTCCCGCCTCGGCCTCCCAGAGTGCTAGAATTATAGGCATGAGCCGTGCCAGGCCTGTTTCTATAATGTTAATATTTCTTTATAAAATGACATGCAGGGCCGGGCGCGGTGGCTCACGCCTGTAATCCTAGCTCTCTGGGAGGCCGAGGCATGCGGATTGCTCGAGTTTAGGAGTCTGAAACCAGCCTGAGCAAGAGCGAGACCCCGCCTCTACTATAAATAGAAATTAATTGGCCAACTAACATATATAGAAAAAAAATTAGCCTGGCATGGTGGAGCATGCCTGTAGTCCCAGCTACTCGGAAGGCTGAGGCAGGAGGATTGCTTGAGCCCAGGAGTTTGAGGTTGCTGTGAGCTAGGCTGACGCCACGGCACTCACTCTAGCCTGAGCAACAAAGCGAGACTCTGTCTCAAAAAAAAAAAAAAAAAACCAAAAAAAATGACATTCATAGGCTGGGCCGTGGTGGCTCATGCCTATGCCTATAATGCTAGCGCTTTGGGTGGCTGAGGTGGGAGGATCGCTTGAGGTCAGGAGTCAAGAAAATTACATGTATGTGATTGTTATCTTTGTCTAATTGGAAGAAATGTGACTCCGACATTCCCGTGACAGGAATAAATCTGTTGGGAGGAATGAGTACCTCCCCACTACTATCACACACACACACACACACACACAAACTGTTGTCAATATCTCAGAGCTGGGAACTAGAGTCCTAAAAATTATTTCCAAAGAGTCCTTATATCCTTATTGAATCTATCCATTCACCCCAGTGCTTCCCCTGAACTCTAAGCAACCCCTTATGTTCATAGCAACCCATGATGAAAATCTCCCCACCTTGGAATTTCCTTTTTGGAGCATGGTGTTGGCAGAGTGTATGCTGTTGAGGAGGTGATGGCTTCCAAGGGAAAGAATCTCAGTTCTGAGAGAGCTAAGCAAGGACAGTGGGACTTATGGGTGAGGGTCGGGGGTGGGAAAGGGCCCGGCTAGGGCAGTAGAACAGAGGCCTTGGGTACAAACTTAGGCCAAACTTCAGGAGTTTGGGAAAGAACAAAGGATAACAGTCCAGCCACTTCTTTACAGTGACTGGGTTAAGGTCAAGAGAGTGAGGTGACAGCCTTCTGGCAGGGAAGCACTTTCCCAAGCGGGTACAAGGGGAAAGGAGAGCTGGAGAGTGGGACATCTGGGGTTTGGGCAATCAGCCACAGCGAGGAACCCCAGTTTGGGTAAACATTCCAGGAGCTGTACTTGACAAGAGTTGGTGCAAGCCAGAAGCTTATCTCCTCTTGATAAATTACAAAGAAAAGCCCAAGTTTCTCTCACCTCTCTCCCTCACCTTTCTACTGTTTCCAGATTGATGTCTGCTGATAATCAGAAATGAGATTCATATACGCCTGCCGGAGTCAGGAGGCAGATCCCAGCTACAGATACCCACGTACACACTAGTGTTAGTCATATTCTTTTATTGGGCCATTTGGCTGGGGGTTAGTGATGAGGGCATTCTCACTCCTCACCACAGCATCCTGCCAAGAGCAGGTGGGGACTCAGCAGCTGCTGCAGTCACTGGGGTAGACGTCCCAGTGCAGCCCAATGGCGTCGATGACGGAGCCAGATCGGCCACTGATGAATCGGAGCACGGTGTTGGGGTGCAAGGGGACAGCACTGAAACTCGTGCCTGAGTCTTTCCCAAAAGACAGGTAGCGGCCCTTGTCCGTCACAAAGACCAGCTTTTTCAGGTAGCGCTTGTACTTGCCAGACACCTGGATCACTGATTCCCCGGAGTGCAGAAAGATCTCCTCCAGGTCTCCGCTGCTGCCACCCGAATAGTCACTCCACACCTTGCCATAGCGCACCTGGAGGCTGGGGGCAGGGGTGAGGAGGGAAGGAGGGGAGACACTCAGGAGTATTGTCAGAATTCGAGACCTCTTGGCCTACAGACTGAGACCTTCAAACTGGTGACAGGGAGGACAAGTCTCCAGCTAGTCCCACAGAATGCGAAGGCTGGGTGAGCCCTAGAAGGTCATACAGGGAACTCCAACTCCTCATTTTGCTGACAAACAGGCCCATAGACGGAAAACAACTTGCCCAGAGTCACCCCAAGAGCAGCAAGTATTGGGGCTTGAATTTGAACGTCCAGGCTCCTGCGGTGACCCCACACCCCGCTTGAAGCTGCAAAGGATTTTCAAACATCTGAAAGGCCCCCCCGTGTGGAAGAGGAAAGAGAATTGTCTGTGCTGTCCCAGAATGCAGACCCGGGATCAGACGGAGACACGTTTTGGCTCCGTATATGACGGAATTTTCCAGCTATGTGGACGGAACGGGAATATCTCAGGAGAGGCAACAAGCAAAGATGGAGGATGGCTGGTGGGAATACTGCAGAGGAGGTGGAAACCTCAGATGGGGGCTGAACTGAGCAACTTTCAGGCCCGGAGAGTTTGTAGTTATATAATTTGCCAAGGTCAAGTGTGTTGGGGGAGGTGGGGTTGTAACACAGATCTAGCGTCCAAGTCCTCTAACTACTTTTGACCACATCGTGTTATACCTGTGACTTGTTGATTGAAACAGATGTAACCCAAAGTGAATGAGAACTTCCCAATTTAGTATGGTCTTAAAGGGTCCCCAAATTACAGAAACTGAAAGAATCTTACCCCACGATGTAGTTGCTGTTGACTCTCACACGGATGGCAGTAATGGGGCCTTCCAGTTGGTTGCCAGAATGGGAGAATCGCTTTCCTCCGGTACCTCCATACTCCCCATTATAGGAGGAGGACCTTGCCTGGACTGAGGCAGGGGGAGAGTAGGAGTTGGGGGGAGAAAGCCCTGGAAGCTGTTTACCCCCACCACCCCTGTCCCTCCCACAACTCAGTTCCTATGACCCAAGCCAGCCTCTGAAAGCCTTGGCCACCACCAGTGCTGGGGCTGCCTTCCTGCCCCCCCCCCCCCCCCGTAACCAGGCTCCGGCGTCTCACTCACTGGCATTGGCAGAGGCTGAGGCACAGAGAAGGGCTATGAGAGCGATGGTCAACATTCTGGGGCTGGAGTGGGAAGAAAGGAGAAAATGAAGGGTTAGCATTTTCCCTCTAGACTCTACTTACCCAGGCGTCCCCCACCTCTGGTGTAGATTCAGGCTTCTTGGTCCATCAACTCAGACCAAACAGACCAGATCTTGAGCTTAGAAAGGACTCTCCATAGTCTACAGTCCTGTTCCTCCCAGATACTGTCTTCTATGCCCCTAACCCTCTCTCTCTCCCTTGGCCTGGCTGTAGCCAACCCCTCCTCTTTCCTCCAAAGCCAGATCAAGCCTAACCCTCTATCTGAATTAAGCTGTGTCAAGCCCCATTTTATTCTGGCACAAAGCAAGAGAAGTTTTCTAAAGAGAAAGTAGAGGACGTCTCCAAAGCATAGAGATGTTGACTTTAGCAAACCATCTGAGCACAACCCAACTGCCTATAGTAGACTGTGGGGCGTCCGGGGCATGGTTTAAATCCTTAGTCTTCCCTTGGTCTCACATCAGAAGGAAAGGAGCATTTTAGAGGCACTTCTATATCCCCTGGGGAGTGAAGGTGGTGATAGAAGAGACTGTGCCCACACCAGTGTCCTAGCAGTGCTGGTGGGACTGGGAGAGACGAAGAAGTTTCAGAAGGAGTTGGGACCAGCTCAAGACGTCAGATCCCAGGTGCCTGGTCTATTATCATCATTTGTCTCCACTAACACAAACCTGGCCACTTCCATTCCCCTGATCATCCCAGGTGTCCCCAGTCCTCCAGCTGAAACCCAGAAATCTTTGCATCTAAGACCAGCTCTGATCCAGGAGCCTCACTCAAGTGACACTCAAGTCTCCCCTGCCACTTAGTCCAGGCATCCTCTTCTCCAGCTTAGATGTGAATTTCCCCCAACTCAGATCCAAGCATCCCTGTCACCTCTCACCTGGCAGTTTCAGATGCAAAGTAATCCCCCCAGAAACTTCCAGATCTTTTATACCAGGTCCAAGCCCTCCCCCTTCTCTTTATCATGTGAACCTCACCTCCTGAGCAAACATAGGCAACCTCTTAGGATCAGGTGTCTGGCAGGGTCTGGAACACCTTATCCTGCCCCCACCCTCCCCAAGGGCTACAGGTGGCAATGTGGGATCAACTCTGGGTCAAGTGACAAGCCTCAGGAGGGGCAGAATAAATTTGAGAACAGGTCGCCAACCAAAGGGCCAGCAGCTTGGGTGGATAAAGTAGCTAATCACCTCAACTAAGATGTAGTCATGAAAGGTTCTCTCTGCCATCTGTCAGGGTAAACATTGCCCTCTGTAGGCATTTGAAATGTAAGTTCTCCCAGGAAGGGAATGCATGCCCAAAGCCTCATACTTAGGAGCGCCTGCTATTTGCAGGCAATTTTTCCTCCTCCTCTGGTATTTTATTATGAAAAAAATCCAAACATATATAAAAATATAAAGAATGGTTTAGGCTGGGCACAGTGGCTCACGCCTGTAATCCTAGCACTCTGGGAGGCTGAGGCAGGTGGATCATTTGAGCTCAGGAGTTCGAGACCAACCTGAGCAAGAGTGAGACCCCGTCTCTTCTAAAAAAATAGGAAGAAATTATCTGGACAACTTAAAATATATAGAAAAATTAGCCAGGCATGGTGGTGCATGCCTGTAGTCCCAGCTACTTGGGAGGCTGAGGCAGGAGGATCACCTGAGCCCAGGAATTTGAGGTTGCTGAGAGCTAGGCTGATGCCACTGCACTTTAGTCTGGGCAACAGAGTGAGACTCTGTCTCAAAAAAACACACAAAAACAAAAAAAACAATTGTTTGGTGAACATCTGTATAACTGCCATATAGATTCTACCATAGTTAATATTTTGGTGTACTTGCTCCCTCCCCAGTCCCCGACTTCCATCCATCTATCCACCCTCAATTTTCCAGACCCTTCTCAAGCCTTTTCTGTATGAGAAGGGTGACTTGAGGCTGCAGGTGGAAACTGAATACCTGCAGATCCCCTTGCGCAGAAGCAGACAGAGTTGGCCCTCTGGGCAAGTGGAAAGCTAGGGAGGGTGCACGGGCCCTCCTCTGGGGGCAGTTCCGGGCTTTGGGACCTCAGGGCACCGTGGCTGGATCTTTCTGGGGCTGGAGCCCACACAAGGCAATTGTTCCTTTCCTATGTCTGAAACATCCCCAGGGTTGATATCATAGATTTCCTCTCTCACTCTCTCTTTTTTTGAGACAGAGTCTCACTTTGTTGCCCGGGCTAGAGTGCCGTGGCGTCTGCCTAGCTCACAGCAACCTCAAACTCCTGAGCTCCAGCAATCCTTCTGCCTCAGCCTCCCAAGTAGCTGGGACTACAGGCGTGCACCACCATGCCCGGCTAATTTTTTCTATATATTTTTAGCTGTCCAATTAATTTCTTTCTATTTTTAGTAGAGACAGGGTCTCGCTTTTGCTCAGGCTGGTCTCGAACTCCTGAGCTCAAGCGATCCACTGGCCTCAGCCTCCCAGAGTGCTAGGATTACAGGCATGAGCCACCATGCCCGGCCATAATTTCCTCTCTTTTTAGGCCCTTCTCTTCCAGGACCGATTTCTTCGCAACCTCAAATCTCTAGAACTGACTCCTGAGTCCTATCACCAGACCCCTCTAAGACCAGCTGTCTGACCAGTCTGAGTCAGCAGGTCCTTCCAAGGATAGAGAATGATGGAGCCTGGGAAGGGGCTGGAATAACTACTCTCAGTTATAAATGACTAGTAGCCGGACATGCAGACTCACCATATGGGGCCGATGACTCATCCCAGGCAGCAAAGGGAACCCTGCCCTAAGGAGCCGGACACAGGGCGGACTCCTGGGTGGTGAGCTGCCAGCAGGGCAGCGTAGACTGAAGCCACTGTTTTACCTCAGCTGACTCCTCCCCAGGTTCCAGATAAGCTCATCCTGGTGACTTAACATTTACCTCATTCCAGCCATTTTGTTTTCTTATGTCTCTTGCCCTCTCTCTATTTGCCTTTTTAAAAAAGCCAGTCAAATTTAGTGGTGGGCAGTTGTATACCAACTTTAGTGACACTAATGTCACTAAGTTCTGATGAGCCACTACCACTGGACCACCCTCATTCATCCTTCTGTCCCAATTTCTTTCCCCTTTATGTCTTGATCTTTTCCTGCATCTCCCACTCTGAGCTTTTTTCTGTATATTCCTTCTCTCCATGACTTTTTCCTTTGCCTCTTCTCTTCCTAGTCTCTACACCTCTCCCAACCCATCTCTGTAGCTCTTTCCTCTCCTCTCTCACCATTGTCTGTCTCTCCTCTTCCTTCTTAAGGGCACATCACACAGTCTGGGTTCAAACACAGGAAGTCAAAGATGGCAGCCGGAGAGGTGGAGGTGAGGACCTTGGGAAAACGTCCTCATGTTTCCAGGTGTGATGCCTCCCAGACCCTCAGGATAGAGGTTCCACGCTTACCACAGCATCACTCTGTTGCGCACACCCTACCTGTGTTGAGATCCAGAGTCTCCTCCAACACCTGGAGACTGGTCCCTATGTTACAGCCCAACCAGATTCATTGCCTGCTGCTCAAGAGAAAGCCAATACACTGAGACAGCAGGTGTTACGGTGGAGAAAGAGTTTAATATCACAGGTACCGTGTGAAGAGACAGGAGGAAATTCTCAAACCCATCTCCCTGAGATTTTGGGAGAAAGAGTTTTTAAAGATAGTGGGCAAAGGGCTAGGCAATTGGGTCTGCTAATTGGCTGGGGCTGAACTCATAGGGTCAGGAAGCAGAAATTGTCTTCTTGTGTTGAGTCAATTCCTAGGTGGAGGTTGCAAGACCAGTGAGTCAGTTCCTTGGCATGGGCCATAGGTCTGGATGGGTCAGCTGGTCCACAGAGGTGCAGGGCCTTGGAAGATATCTCAAAAACTAGTCTTAGGTTTCACAAGGATGATGTCATCTATGAGAGCAATGATGAAAACTAAGAATAGTAAGCAATTACAGGAAAGGAAGCTAGGGAACAATAGCTAGTTTTATATATTTTAACTACACCTATACCTTTGCAGAGTTCAGGCCCCTACCATGGTTTCCACCTTGTGGCCCTTTATTAATTTTATAAAGGGCAGTTTCCCCTGGGTCCCTTATAGCAAGTCCTCATTCTCCTCCCCAGAGGGCAGGAGATGCTGACCCTATGGTGAGAGGGGTCTCAGGGCCCATCTTCTGTCTTTCCCAGAGACGAGGAAAGCTACCGTGGAGCTTATGCTGCACCTCTAGGGGTTGCCATGATGTGGCGACCGAGGAGCTGGAAGGAGGAAGGTAAAGGTGTGGGGCGCGGTGACAACGCCATTACAAGATGGCGCCGATTTCCGGTGGCCCGCCTGTAGTAAACAAGTTCAGCGCATGCGCAGAGTAAGTCCTGGCCTGTTCTATAAGTATGCATATGAAGGATCTTAGCTTGGCCTATCAGTAATAACCCTCGCGCGCTTTTAACCTATCCCCATCACAGAGGAGAGCCAGTGTGGGTGCCTCAGTGCCCTTACCCTCTGAAAAGTTACTCGCGGCAATAATCTAGTGCAGAGCAGCGTCACTCTGGGCATCTGAACCGTCTCAATCTCCTTGGAATATCCTATTTTTGTGATTAAGAAAAGGTCTGGTAAATGGAGACTGTTGCATGACCTTGAGAGCATTTAATGCCCAGATGTAGCTTATGGGGCTGTTCAGAGAGGACTGCCCCTTCCCTCAGCTTTGCTTCAAACTGGAGCTGACATCTTGGACATCAAGACTGTTTTCTCTATTCCCTGCACCACAAGTAAAAGCGATTTGCACTTCACGCTTCCTTCCATAAACCACGAGCAGCCTGATGCAAGATATCAATGGCAGGTTTTTGCCTCAGGGCATGGCTAACAGTCCCACTATGTGCCAACTTTATGTGGCCTCAGCTATCCAGCCAGTTAGGCAGAAGTTTTCAAAGGTAAGAATTATACATTATATGGATGATATTCTCTTGTGTCATTGTGATGATGGCGTACTTCGCCAAGCTTATGCGTCCTTCAGGCTCACTTAAGGGAAAAGGCTTGCTGGTCGCCTCAGAAAAGGTGCAAGAGGGAGAAGTGGCACGTTTCTTGGTAGTATATTCTCCTGAAAAATTGTGCCTCAAAGACTGTCCATCCGAAGAGATGCTTTGAGGACCTTAACGATTTCCAAAAGCTGCTAGGAGGATATCAATTGGCTTCGACCTTTCCTATGTCTTACCACAGCAGAACTGAAGCCATTATTTCAGATTCTAGAGGGAGACTCACACATCACGTCTCCTAGAACTTTGACTCCTGAGGCCCTTAAGGCTCTTCATAAGGTAGAAGAAGCCATTCAAAAGGCGCAACTAGTGCGCATTCAACACCATGATCCTTTCTCCCTCTGTGTACTCCCTTCTCCTACGCTCCTATGGCAGTGCTTTGGCAGGATGGTCCCCTTTTATGGGTGCATCCTCAAGCCTCTCCAGGAAAGGTGATTGGCCACTATCCTACCTGTGTGGCCGAGATAGCTTTAAAGGCTATTAGTTTGGCTGTATCCCATTTGGCGTCACCCTGATAGCCTGATTTGCCCATATACTGCCAATCAAGGTGAACACCTTATGTGCCACTCTTGATGCATGGGCCATATTGAGATGCACCTTCCCGGGGAGCATTGACAACCATTATCCCAGACATGCCTTGTTGCAGTTTGCAATGAGGAACGAGCTTATTTTCCCAAAATACTTTCACTGTTACCTTGGTTGATGCCTTGGATGTGTATACTGATGGCTCTAAGACGGGTATTGGGAGCTATGTCATTCAGGACAAGGTGTATACCAAACAGTTTAACTATTCTTCTCCTCAGCTAGTAGAGTGTGCCGTAGTCGGTCTGGTTCTCAGTACCATCACTGAACCTATCAACATCATCTCAGACTCCTTTTATGTGGTCAACGCAGTTAAACAGTTAGAGAACTCCTTTCACATTCTTGCCAAGAGTACTGTCTTTTCTGTATTTACAGAAATTAGGAATACTATTCAAAATAGGAAAAACCCATTTTCCATTCAGCATATCAGAGCTCATTCCCTTGTTACCTGGACCTATGGCTGCGGGAAATGCTATGGCAGATCGCGCCACTCGCGCCCTCTGGGTGTCTGATGGCCACGCCGCCGCCATAGACTTTCATAAACTTTATCATGTGCCAGCTGAAACCTTACGACTTAAGTTCAACATCAC